CTAATCTCCTGAGCCTCTGGGATTACAAGTGTGCACCATTGCACCTGGCTTCATAAGTTTCTTATACTTAGTAGAGTTCTTCTCTTCCATAGGTGATGCGGGCAGCAGAACTCCAAAAGACCAGAAGGTGAGTTGGGGTAGGTGGGAGACAGTTGAGAGATATGAATTTAAAAATGGGAGCTAGGTTGGGGTGTAGCTCTAAGGTAGACTATTTGCCTTATATACACAGGGCCTTCAATTCAGTTCCCAGCACTACAAAAGAAAATGGGTGAAATTTATGGCCTGAGCAGTTTACCTGTCAACATATTCATCCTGTAATTTGTGTTGAGGGCTATAGTCCTCTAATAGATTTCATAAGAATGCAAAAGAACATTACCAAGAAATGCTATCTGCTGAGTGCATATAACTCATTTTGTTTTATGAAATATTCTTTTATTTTTTAAAAATTTTTTTAGATGTTGATGAACGTTTATTTTATTCATTTATTTRTATGCGATGCTGAGAATCAAACCCATGCTAGGCAAGCATCCTACCACTGAGCCACAACCCCAGCCCTGAAAGATATTATTTCTTATTCTCAGGTTTCTTTCTGTCTGTCTGTCTCTCTTTCTCTTTCTTCTTTTTTAAACTTGTTGCAGTGTTGGGTCTTGAACCCAGGATCTTTTATATGTTAGGCAAACACTCAACCACTGAGCTACATCCCCATTTCTCTCAAGTTATTTCTAACCTGATCTGCTTCCTTACAGCTCCGTGAGGCTATGGCCGCCTTAAGAAAATCAGCCCAAGATGTCCAGAAGTTCATGGATGCTGTCAATAAGAAGAGCAGTTCCCAGGATTTACATAAAGGTTAGAGTCGAGGAATATCTGGGTAGAGGTGGGAGGTGAATTATTACAAAGATTTCTTGGATAATCTTTTCCACTTCTGTGGGCTTCTTTTACCACCATAAGTAGGCTGTCTATGGTGAATGTTAGGATTATTAGTTATTTTGTTTTAATTGTTGTCTGCTTCCACCTTTTAAAAATTTTTTAGTATTTATTATTTAGTTGTAGTTGGACCCAATACCTTTATTTTACGAGCCACAACCCTTGCTACCACCTTTTGTGTACTGATTGTGATATACCAGTCTCGTTATCCTTACAAGTTGTCAGATCCCAATTTTACTGATGCTGAGTTTCCAGTGTGTCATGTTTTATCTTAGCACTTATTAGCTGTCTACATTTAGATTGTTCCCATGTTCTTGAGTACTTTTTCCAGTTGGAGATTAGTGGGGAGAAAATAACTTGAACTATTATCAAAAGTTCTGCAGCCCGGCTGGGGTTGTGGCTGAGTGGTAGAGTGCTTGCCTAGCACATGTGGGGCACTGGGTTCAATCCTCAGCACCATGTAATAAAAAAATAAATAAATAAAGATTGTGTGTCTGGGCTGGGGCTATAGCTCAGTGGCAGAGTGCTTGCCTACACGTGTGAGGTGCTGGGTTCAATCATTAGCACCACATAAAAATAAAATAAAGGTATTCTATCCATCTACAACTACAAAAAGAATTAAAAAAACAAAAAGATATTGTGTGTCCACCTACAACTAAAAAATAAATATTTTAAAAAAAATAAGTTCTGGGCTGGGATTGTGGCTCAGCAGTAGAGTGCTCGCCTAACACAGGCGGGATCCAGGTTCAATTCTCAGCACCACATAAAAATAAAGGCATTGTATTGTGTCCATCTACACCTAAAAAATAAATATTTAAAAAAATAAAATAAAATATAAGTTTTGAGGCCAAGTTTTTTAGAAAGGGAAAAAAGTTTTATTGCATTTGAGTAGTAGTTACTATTGTTGTTAATAAGGAGTTGGAGTGGGCATGGTAGTGCATGCCTGTAATCCCAGTGACTCAAGAGGCTAAGTGACTCAGAAGGGTTGCAAGTTCAAAGCCAGCCTCAGCAATTTAAYAAGACCCTAAGCAAATTAGTGAGACCCTGTATACTATATAAAAAGGGCTGGGGATGTGGTTCATTGGCTAAGCATCCCTGGGTTCAATCCCCAGTACCAAAAAAAAAAAAAGTAGTTGAAAACATTGGGTTGAAGTGACATGTATATGAATTACATTGTAAACTTCAGTTCTTCAAGTTTCTCCTGTTAGCATATCTATGTTTTGTGTTTTTGCCTTTGGCCAAGTATAAAGAAAAGATGGCTAAGGATCACCCAGACAGGGTGGCATGTACCTATAATTCTAGCTACTTGGGAGGCTGAGGCAAGAGGATAACAAGACCTTGTCTCAAAATAATAACAAGGGCAGGATTTTAGCTCTGTGGTAGAGCACTTGCTTGGCAGGCATGAGGCCTTGGGTTCACTCCCCAGTACTGCGGGAGAGAGTATTCAAGGATCAAAGGTTACCTCATTTTTCCTGATACACGTACTGCCCTCTTTACCTTTCTATTTTCTGCCAACCTGTGGCACAACTCTTTAGAACAATTTTGCTTTCCTCCATAGGAACCTTGAGTCAGATGTCTGGAGAACTGAGCAAAGATGGTGATCTGGTAGTCAGCATGCGGATTCTTGGCAAGAAGAGAACTAAGACGTGGCACAAAGGCACCCTTATCGCCATACAGACAGTTGGTATGTTCAAGCTAGAGAAAGCGCTTATGAAAGGCAACCTGTAGGTCTACTATGAATTGTTTCTTTTTCCCACAGCCTTTGTTATTGTCTTTCACATGGCAAGCAGGGAGGGAGGGCTTACTTAGGAATGACAGTTTTTTACAATTTTGTCTTTTTCTTTTACTCAGGGCCAGGGAAGAAATACAAGGTGAAATTTGACAACAAAGGAAAGAGTCTGCTTTCAGGGAACCATATTGCTTATGATTACCACCCTCCTGCTGACAAATTATATGTGGGTAGTCGAGTGGTGGCCAAATACAAAGATGGGAATCAGGTCTGGCTCTATGCTGGCATTGTGGCTGAGACACCAAATGTCAAAAACAAGCTCAGGTACATGGAAGGGGGACTGGAAAAGGGGGAACATAGTGTCTGCCTATTTACGTCATAGTCCAGTTTTCACAATTGGGTTTTGTGTGAGGTCTGATAACCCTCTGTCTCTCTTTGCTATATGGGTGATTCTTTCTTTTGTCTCTTTTTTCCACCTCCCCTTTTCTTTTTTTAAGGGGAAAACTAGGAGAATAATCAAGATGCATTAATGAGGGCTGGAATTGTGGCTCAGTGGTAGAGCGCTTGCCTGGCATGATTAAGGCACTAGGTGTGATCCTCAGCACCATGTAAAAAATATTTAAATAAATAAATACAAAGGTATTGTGTCCATCTACCAAAAAAAAAAAAAAAAGATGGATTAATGAGCTAGGTGTAGTGGCTTATGTCTATACTCCCAGCTACTTGGGAGGCTGAGGCAGAGAATCCCAAGTTTAAGCCCTGCCTAGTCAACTTAATGAGACCCTTTTCTAAAAGTAAAATGACTAAAGTTGTAACTCATTGATAGAATTCTTGTTTRGCCTGTGTAAAACCTGAGTTCAATCACTGGTGTCACACAAAGGGGGCAAAAAAAAGACCAGTTAGTGTGATTAAGGGAATAGAGAATTCATATAGAAGGAAGGAATGGAGAATAAATCATTGGCAGCATAGGAATATTCCAGAAGAACAAGAATAAATTGTTATTATTAATTTATTTTTTAGTTGTAGTTGGACACAAAACCTTTATTTCACTTGTTTATTTTTTTTATGTGGTAGTGAGCATCAAACCCAGGGTCTCACACATGTGAGGCGAGTGCTCTACCACTGAGCCACAACCCCAGCCCAAAGAATAAATTATTTTTTAAAAAGGAATATGTTGGTTAGATTAARGGAAAATTCTTAATTGGTGTGGGGAATAGAATGGAATTGCTTCCATTGAGTGAGTCCTATTGTGATCCAGAGGTGATCTAGGAAAAAGTAATCTGTAGTTTGTGTTAAATATAATAACCCTCCCTCTCTATTAATCACCCTTCCCTTACAGGTTTCTTATTTTCTTTGATGATGGCTACGCTTCCTATGTCACACAGTCAGAACTCTATCCCATTTGCCGGCCATGTGAGTATCCTCCATTCTTCTTTACCTATATCAGTTTTTTTTTTCCTATCTTGTATTTCTTATCAAGATGCCTGAGTGGAAAGCTTTATTGTTTTGGGGTCTCCATAAGTTTGGTTGATGTGGCTCATAAGTACAGTTTTATTATCCATTTCTATGCCTGGGTCTTTGTAGCCAGAGTAAGACATTAGAAGATCATAACTGGTGCTGGGGCCTCAGTTCAGACACAGTGACAGAGTACTTACCTAGTATATGTGAGGTACTGGGTTCAATCCTTAGCACCTCCTAAAAATAAACAAATAACTAAAGGCATGCTGTCCATCTACAACTACAAAAAATACTAAAAAAAAAAAAAATCGATTTAAAGCCAGGTGTGGTGGCGCACACAGGTAGTGTGCTGAGGAAGGCTGAGGCAGGAGGATCATGAGTTCAAAGTCAACCTCAGCAAAGTCGAGATGCTAAGCAACGCAGTTAGACCCTGTCTCTAAATAAAGTACAAAATAGGAATGAGCATGTGACTCAGTGTTCGAGTGCCCCTGAGTTCAATCCTTGGAACAAAAAAAAAAAAAAAAAAATCATAACTGGATAAACTGCTCTTATAATAGGTGTTTAAGTGACTGATATTTGAAAAAATGTTCTTTCCTAGTCTCATGTTTGACCTAACATTTGTACAAATAGAGACTGTGTCAGATGGAGCTTTCATAGTCCTCTGTACTTGTTTCTCTGGCTTGGGTACAGACTTCTACAGAAGTGACTATTTTTGATTGCAGAGGAATCAGCTAACACTACTGAGTTTCTACATAATATGGCAGTAAAACACATTGAGATTCCCTTAAAAATTTAATATAGGGCTGGGGTTGTAGCTCAGTGGTAGAGTGCTTACCTTGCATGCTTGAAGCACTGGGTTCAATCCTCAGTACCACATAAAAATTAAAAAAAATATATTATGTCGATTTACAACTAAAAAAAGGTTGTTAAAAAAATTTTAATACAGAAAGCAGGTRTGGTGGAATATGACTATAATCCCAATTACTTGGGAGGTTGACGCAGGACACTCACAAGCTTGAGGCCAGCCTCAGCAATTTAGTGAGGGCTTAAGCAACTTAGTGAAACCCTTTCTCAAAATAAAAAGGGCTAGGGATGTGGCATGGTGGTTAGTACCCCTGGGTTCAATTCCTGTTATTAAAAATTTAAAAATAAACATAGTGGAATTTTATTTGGTTATAAAGACAAATGAAATTTTAAAAAAATTTAATATGGCCGGGTATGGTGGCTCATACCTGTAATTCCAGCTACTTGGGAGGCTAAGGCAGGAGATTGCAAGCTTGGCACTAGCTTTGGGAAATTAGCAAAACCCTGTCTAAAAAAAACAAAAAGGAGGCTGGAGTTGTAGCTAATGGTAGAGCGCTTGCCTCACACATGTAAGGCACATGTGTGGCTCAGCGGTTTGATTCTCAACACCACATAAAATAAGTTAAATAAGGGTATTGTGTCCATCTACAACTAAAAGGAATTTTAAAAAATAAAAGGGCTGGGGATGTAGCTAAGAGGTAGAACACCACTGGATTCAATCGCTCCTATGGCAGTGGGAGGGGGTGGATTTAATGAGTGAGAAGGAAAATTTTTTTAATTTCATGATATCACCTGATTTTTGTTTTTTCCCCTATCAAATCATGTCCTACTACCTTCTCTCAGCTCTGTTTCTTCCTTGCGACAGTGAAAAAGACTTGGGAGGACATTGAAGACATCTCCTGCCGAGACTTCATAGAGGAGTATATCACTGCTTACCCCAACCGACCCATGGTGCTGCTTAAGAGCGGCCAGCTTATCAAGACCGAGTGGGAAGGCACATGGTGGAAGTCCCGAGTTGAGGAGGTGGATGGCAGCCTTGTCAGGATCCTCTTCCTGGTACTGTTTTTGTAAAATTGGAGGCAGTTTTCAGGGTGGGATTGGGCGATGGAGGCATACGAGGCAGTAATGAGGACCTGGGGATGTAGAGTGGTAGAGTGCTTGGGTTTAATCCTCAGAAGCACATACACAAGGGGAAAAAAGACAACAATGAGAATGACTTCATATCTGTAGTTTTCCTCTTTCTTATCTTCAATCTTTGCTTTGTCCTTTTATTTTTGTCCTCCTTTTTCTTCCTTTAGAAATAGATATAAAAATGAGGGGCTAGGGTTGTGGCTCAGCGGTAGAGTGCTCACCTAGCACATGCGAGGCCCTGGATTGGATCCCCAGCACCACATAAAAATAAAATAAAGGTATTGTGTCCAACTACAACTGAATAAACAAAATATTTAAATAAATAAATAAAATAAATGTATTGTGTCAAACTACAACTAAAACAATATAAAATAAATGAATAAATAAGTTCCCTGAATTTAATCATGACACTAATCTGTATGGTTTTGATTTTTTTTTTTCCCTCCAAGAGTATTCTTACTATGTAGAGGTACAAAGAAGGCAGCCCTTTTCATTTTTTCCAAGATTATGGTTTTTGTACAGTAATGGGATAAAGAACTGAAGGAATTAGAGGTTTTGGTGATCTTGTAAAGCTCAGTTGAACTTCTCTCTTTTGTACCCATCCTCCTGTTCTCTTTTCCCTTGTCACCCCACTTCCTAGGATTAATGTTCTTCTCTGCTTTATTTCAACCCTTTTATTCTGACACTTTATGATCTTTGTCACACTTTTTATACTCTGTGTAGACATCTGTCTCTTGTGTAAATTTTTTTTTGGCATGTGGGTGGTGAGGGAGATGAGGCCTTGCTATATTGCCCAGGCTTATCTTGAAGTCCTGGGCTCAAGCAATCTTTCTACCTCAGCCTCCCAAATAGCTGGGACTACAGACAGGTGTTCATGCCATTGTGATAGTGTTCTCCTGTAATTTCTTTTTTTAATTTCTTTTTTATTTTTTTATTTTTTTTTTAGTTGTAGTTGGACACAACACCTTTATTTCACTTATTCATTTTATTTTTTTTT